AAATTAATGTTTAGGTATTCATAATATAGCTTAGAGTTAATCAAATAAAATTCCCTGCAAATCCATTCACTTAGTGGGTACCAGATTGGGCCGCTGCCATCTGCCTTCACAACTGACTAAAATGAAACTCCTGTTAAGTATCCTCTGTTAGATTGAGATATTGTGACTGTGGAGGCCATTTACAGTGAAATCACTGTCATGCTCAAGAAAGCAGTTTGAGATCGTTTAACCTTTGTGACTTTTAAAGCTGGGTCCACTCTGGTCATAAAGGGATGGACATGGTCAGCAACAAAACCTGGGTACATTATGGTGTTTAAATGATGGTCAGATGGTCAGACTTCAAATGTCACAGGACAAATCGGGACTCATCAGACAAGGCACCATTTTTGCAATTCTATTGTCCAATTCTGGTGAGCCTGTGCAAACTGCAACCGTTTCCTGTTCTTGTCTGATGGGAGTGGACTCAGCATGGTCTTCTTCTGCTGTAGCCCATCTGCTTCAAGGTTTGAGACGCTGTGTTTTCCAAGCACTCCTGCATACTTTGCATTGTTTTGAGTAGTTATTTTTGTTACTGTGGTACTGAAATTTCCCTGTTATCTCAAAGCAGTCTGGACATTCTCCTCTGAACTCCGGCATCGGCAAGGTATTTTTGTCCGGGGTACTGCCCCTCATTAGATAATTTACATTTCCTGACCATTCTCCTCAGTGGGAAAATCCCAGCAGATCAGCATTTTCTAAACGCCCAGACCGTCTCATTTATCAACAACAACAATAACCTATTAAATCCCCATTCTGCCCTATTCTGTTCACCATGGCTACACTGAGTTTCAAAGCTGCAGTTGGCTGATTACACATTTATGTTAATAACCTCAAAGGTGCTCAAAGCTGCTATCCAATACTTGTTCCTTCGAATGTCATTGTCTTTTTTTATTTTGTTATTTCTTTTAAATAGCTATTTCTTACCATTTCTTTTGATTTGTTGCTTTATTCACAAAGGCAAGATGTCTCTTGTGTGCGTAGATAAACTATGTGTTGGCACTGTTTAGTTTCTGTGCTTGGGATTATCAATAAACTAGGAGACTTTTTTATTTTTCTGTCAGATCTATTTGATGTATTTTTGGTGCCTAGTGACTTTCTCTTTTTTGTGTTTTTTTTCTTTATTGCTGCTCCACCATCTGTGGTACCATATGATATTAATTGTAAATCAAGTTCTTGAAGCTGACTGTGACAGTATGTTTTTTCAATGGTTGATGTTTGGCTGTTGCACTTTAATTCATGCTGTTAATTTTTATAGTGCTCAAATTCCAGCGCTTGGATTTGAGTATTGGGTCCTGTGCACACTTGCTTTTGTTTTCAGGGCTCACTGGCAGTGAATCATTGCAGTAGGTTTTGTTGTTGCTTTTGTGATGTATGAATGGCTGGATACAGGTTATTTGCACAATTGTATGAGTGTAAAATTGGATTCACGGAGATCTGGGCAAGGTTTTTGTCACAGATTGTCACATTTTTATTTCATATTTCCTTTATAGCAACATATCAGTACATCTTTACAGCGGAGCATCAATTTCACAGTATCATCGCTCTTACTATCAATGTGTACCGCTATTGACATCATCAAGTGTCTTACATTGCTGCTGCAGATCTTGTTGGTACTGGTGTTTAGGTTTAGCCATGTCAGTTTTGGGTGGATTCACTTAATTACTGTCACTTCTGATTTCATAGCTATGTTAACATTGCTGTATGCCTTCCAAGAGTGGAGAGGTAATCCAAATAGATGTATATTTGTTAACATAATGAACATGTTCTGTGCAGGGTCACTGGGTGAGATCTCATTTAGTGACATCATTTAAAACATAACAAAATAACATAAAAACCACAGGCTGTCAAAATAATTAAAAAAAAAACCTTTAAAAGCAAATAAAAATCTGAACTTGACTGCTACTAATGCAGAAGACTGAGTTTGTGTTAGTCAAAAGGGATTAGCCTCGTTACTCCATAGTTACAATTTAGTCTCAATCAAACTTTTGACTGTTAGTCCAGCAAAATTGTTTTGGTTAGTGAATTCTTCTAGGATATCTTGATTAAATGGCTCTCTCTTTATACGTCATGGCTATCGGTCAGAATCTAACTCTGAGGAAACATTATACAGTAGATTCACCAAAAATCTGAAAAGATGAGCTTTTAGAGATGGATGGATGTACACCAGTGCATGTCTGTGACATTTCATTTTCCAGCTAGGGGTTGGCTTGTCCTTTGCAGACCTTCAAATCACAGCGGTAGCATTTCAAAGATGTAACATTTAGCCTGCACTGGGTCTCTTATTTTGAAATGTGACCAGATTCTGTATGCATGTGCGCGCTGCCTTACTTCTAAACATAACATAGTTCTTCTGCTCAGTAAACCAGGTGAACATTCCTAAGCATCACTTCTACAAAAAGCACGATCATTTCAACATCATATTCTGTGAAAAAAAGAAGTTAATATCACCTCATAACAATATGAATATTTTTATTTGTATCTTATTTGACTAAACAATGATATTCAATAAAGGGAGAAAATGTAATTGGTTTCCATTTATTGCTTTAATTTAAAACAATTACAGAATCGTACTATACACAAATAAATCCAACTCATACTTCATTCTGTTGCTGTAAGGTCCTCTGTTACAGTAGTTTGGTGCCATTTCTAGTATAACATGAGTGCTCATGAAAGCTAGGATACCATTAATACTCACATTAATATCTGCTACAGATGGATCCTAATATGGGGCAGCATTACAGAAGATCCGGTGTGAGCAGATAGGGCATTGGAGAGTGCAGATCTAATGGAGTTTTAATAGATAAATGTTGGCAGGATGTATCTCGGGCTCCTCAATAACAGCAGGATGTGGAAATCCAGACAATGGCTTTTAAATGGTGATGGATGCTAGCAATTGGTTTAATATGTGCAGATGGGAAGATTGTTGGTTACTGGCATACAGGCAGGCAGAGGACATAGATGGATCGAGTGAAGAAAAGGTGACAGTATGAAATGGTCTCAAGAGCTGAATGTTGCAGGATGACTGGCAGAGGTGCATGAGAGTTGGTACAGAAGTACAAGTCAGACCTTATTAGGAGAGCTCAAAGGGACCTTGACAATGTGATAACAAACTTCCTGGTTGCTGGGGTCTTTGTTAAAGGCAAGGAGCAGCAGGTGTCTGATTTGAAGCGGGGTGCTGAGCCCTGACATTGTCTTTTTCTGCCGGTCTTTGCCTTAGTTTTTCACTGTCAGCTCATTCCTTTAATGATGTTTCCCCGTCAACCAGGTGTGGATGCGACTCCGGCAGCTTGAAAAGGTCACTGCCTTAAGGCTGAATGCATCATGTCATAGTTTATTGACTGGCTGTTAAAAAAAAAGTTCATCCTAAGATTATGAAACCCAAAAGTTGAAAAAGATGGTAAAAGGTTATCAGTGAAACAAAAAAAACCCTCCAATCACCTTTTTTAAGAGACAGAATTTTTTTTGTTTGTTCCCCAGACTTTGTCTAGTCACAACATTTTCCAATCCATTAGCTTGTGTAAGTCTAAATTATTAGCTAATTCATATATAAAACCTCTCCTCTTTTTTTCTATTCTTTCATTTTCATTTCAGTGTGTGGATGATGGAGCTAATCATAATAAAATAAATAATAATAAAACTATCTAGCCAGCTTGAATAAAGTATGCTAACAACAGTTGTCAGTGCAGCTGGCAGAAGGCAGGGTTGCCAGAAAATTGAAATGTGGTGAGGAAAAATAGAAAATGTATAAATTATTAAATGTGAGTCCAGAAGATAGGGAAATTAAAACAAATTATCTAGTGACTAAGAGAAGGTTAAATGAATTTAAAAAGAAACACAAACTCCACAGCATTTCTATTGACATATTCAGACAAAATTTCTGATAGCCTTTTCTTCAGGCTTACATAGGAGCTCCCGTTCCCGCAGTGCTTCTCAAAACTTTGTATGGATTAACCCACTGAGCCAAAAAACCCAAAAGAACAACAAAACCCCCCAAAAGACAAAGACTTCCAGGTGGTATCGTCAGAATTTGGTGTGAGGAACATGAAAACATGGATCAATCATACCTTGCGTCAATGCTTCAGACTGGTGGTGATTGTATGGTGTAGGGCAGCGGACCCCAACCCCCGGGCCTCGGACCGGTACCGGTCCGTGAGTCGTTTGGTAACGGGCCGCGAGAGTTGAGGCTCAGGTGTGAAATGTATAGTTTTCAGGGTTTTTTTTATC